CCTTCCTGACCTGACGAGTGGATGTTGTCTCCCCCCCTCCCCCACCTTTATATTCCTATGTTTTGAAGAGTTAAAGAGTTGGAGGTTGACGAGAGGGAACAGAAGGCGGGTGACGTCAAGACCTTAGGGGCGTTGGTGGATTGATTCGTCTAGCGTGTTGAGGTGTTAATGTGATGGTGAAATTTCTCTCGTGATGCAGGTTGATGGCGGGTTGAGATAGACAGACTGTTGCAATTTAATGGGTTGAAATAAACTGGATATCATTTGTCATGTTCCTAGTTGGATTTTTTTGTTTAATTCGGCTGTCCGACACTATGATCAGGGCCATGTATGTGGACCACAGTATGAATACGGCCATGTATGTGGACCACAGTATGAATACGGCCATGTATGTGGACCACAGTATGAATACGGCCATGTATGTGGACCACAGTATGAATACGGCCATGTATGTGGACCACAGTATGAATACGGCCATGTATGGACCACAGTATGAATACGGCCATGTATGTAACTGTGTATGAATACGGCCATGTATGTGGACCACAGTATGAATATTACGGCCATGTATGTGGGACCAGTATGAATACGGCCATGTATTTGGTCCACAGTATGATTACGGCCATGTATGTGGATCACAGTATGATTACGGCCATGTATGTGAACCACAGTATGATTACGGCCATGTATGTGGATCACAGTATGATTACGGCCATGTATGTGGACCACATTATGATTACTGCCATGTACGTGGTCCACAGTATGATTACGGCTATGTATGTGGACCACAGTATGATTACGGCCATGTATGTGGTCCACAGTATGATTACGGCCATGTATAATAATAATAATAATAATAATAATTAACGGTTTATTGAAAAAAATTCTGCAGCCCGAAGGCTGAAAATATACATTGGACATAAATGACTTATTACATATATTGGTGGTTTAACAAAAGCCTTCATTAGAGAAAGGTAAAGGAACATACAGTGAACATACAGATTAATGTAGGTGTTGAACAGCAAACTCGTAGTGTAGTAACTCTCCCAGATGGTGTCAGGAGGAACTCACGTGGTGTAGTAGTTTCCTCAGATGGTGTTATGAGGGACCTGGCGTGGTGTAGTAATTCCCTCGCAGATGGTGTTATGAGGGGCCTCACGTGGTGTAGTAATTACCTCACAGATGGTGTTATGAGGGACCTCACGTGGTGTAGTAATTACCTCACAGATGGTGTTATGAGGGACATGTGGTGTAGTAATTCCCTCACAGATGGTGTTATGAGGGACCTCACGTGGTGTAGTAATTCCCTCACATATGGTGTTATGAGGGACATGTGGTGTAGTAATTCCCTCACAGATGGTGTTATATGAGTGAGGTTTGGTCTTAGGCCTTCCTATCGTAGACGGATTAACACAGTTGTTGTTGGGTCTCACGGGCCGTTATCACTGGGTACCTGGGACCTCACTGTGTGAAGGTTAACTTGGGTACGACTGTTACTGTTGAGTTGTTCTCACTGACCTAAGCACTGTTCACCTCTGTTTAACACTGGTTCCGTTCCTTTCCTAGATGAAATTGTAACTTCTGGCGAAAACTTGTTGATATTCCGGTGGGGAGGAGGGTTCAGGGGAGGGGGTTGGTATGGGCCAATTTAACAGTTGACCTGGCTGCTCCGAGAGGAGCGCCAGGTACGTCTTGACCCTTCGGTGGTCAAGGATGTATGTGGACCACAGTATGATCACGGCCATGTATGTGGACCACAGTATGATCAAGGACCATGTATATATCACAATATGGCCAGGGAACTTTTTGAAGACTCCAACCCAGGGCCATACATCATTAAAGTCATCATTAATATACAAGTGATGAATAACCACGTGTGTATACCCAGTGTATGATCAGGGCCGTGTATGCATTACCCCTAGCGTGGCAAGACACCAGATCATGGTCATGCATTATTTTCAGGCATCATTCAGATCTCCTCATGACACACAGGTTGTCAGGTTCCCCCAGGGCGGCTTACCTTGGCAGGGAGGACACGGCCTGGCAGAGGTGGTGTTTGTTTGTCTTGGTGGGGAGGGTGGGGGGTTGAGAGGGTGAGGCCGCTAATGGATAGAGTTGATGTGGGTACAGAAGGATGGTGTGGATGGAGAGGGGAAGTGGATATAGGGAAGTGTTAGTGTATTTAATGCTTATTGTATCCCGACCGACCCTATTGCTACTCCACACGTTTTAGTGAAAAAGAAAAAAAAAAGGTTAATATATACACCTGTATTAGTAGTACCTGCAGTATTTATTAGTACAGTTAGTTTCAGTATTAGTTGTTAGCAGTGGTAGTAATAGTTGGTAGGAATAATAGGGAATTCTATTTTCTCAAGGTGGGTTGGAACTGAGATGACCCCAATTTTGATTACCGTTCCCGGGGGGGGGGGGTGGAGAGAGAGAGAGAGAGTTTTCACAGGACCTTCCTTCTTTACGCACATATGCAAGTTTATGTATGTTTACTTGTTATCGACTTAAAGTAGGATGGCTCTCAACTTGAGTCCCTCGCCGCTGGGAACTGAGACTCCACCCAGGCGCCATGATAACCGGCACTCTCAGCTGCTTCGAGTACACTCACCCAAACTTTATCACCAGCGATGACTCTTCCCCCAAGCGATCTGAATGCCTTGTAGTGTTGTGGGAACCCCTACGGTGGTCCTTATCTCAGCGATAGCCGTCTCCCGTTGACACAAGTTATCACCGTGGGTCATTGTCAAACACAAACACATACATATTACTTAGAACTTATCACTGTTTAGCTTTGTCTTAGGGGGACCTGTATCTTGTGTCTGTGTGTTGGTCAGGCCGTGGCTTAGTGTGTGTGTGTGTGTGTGTGTGTGTGTGTGTGTGTGTGTGTGTGTGTGTCACCCTGTTTATTATCAGTATCTCATAACCTTTCATGTTGTATTTGTCTTTGTCTCCTTCACCCTGTCTAAATTATTATTATTATTATTATTATTATTATTATTATTAACAACTAATTTACAACTACAATGCCTCATTAAGTTATTCAGTTTTTCCTCCGTCCTGCATAAGTTAATTAATTTCCATGGCCTAATTAACTTACATAATTAGGTGCACTGAATATACATAACCATTGATGTTGGGTGCGTACACTGTCAGTATTACCAGACAATACAAGGGTGACCAGGAATTAATTATCAGAGAGAGAGTCAGTCAATCAATCAATCAGTCAGTCAGTCAGTAAATGCCTTTATAGGGTTGACTGACGAAGTTTTAAAAGATATATTCCTGAGGGTCTGCAAATAAAGGCAATAGCACGACTTTATATTATCAGTGGTCAGAGACGGTATATTCAGTCCACCTTATGTTATGTCTCTTATGTAAGGGTGAATAACGTCCAATCCTCTTAGGCATTATGCTCAAACGTCAACCGATGTGGGGAGAGTTAAACCATTCGTATTTGATGAGTTGTCGGGGTCATGTTTCCTGCAGGATTCAGAGGGGGATTTCGTACCTTATTTTGTGTCCTTTAACTGTTAGCTAAGTGAACGTATCGAGTTATGGCAGTCTCATAACTTGGGGGATTTTTGATGGGAGGGAGCTGGGTTTTGTAGATTTTTGTGAGAGGGGGAGCATTATGTTGGAGGAGGCTTTTGGGGGGATGGGTGATCTTGTGGAAGGATGATTTTGTTGGAGGGAACTTTTGAAGGAACATGATTTGAATTTTTTTTGAGAGAGGGTGATTTCGATTTTTAAAGGAGGATTTTGTGTGAGGGGTTTATTGCTTCTAGGTGATGGATGATGTTGCCAAGACAGGGGTAGGGTGCGAGTAAGTGCTAGTTAGGGACATTCCTGACGAGGTGGTGGATGGGTGGTACTGGTTGGGGGAAAGAGAGACAGAGAGGGAGGAGAAAGGCATGGATGAAAGAGACTGAGGAAGAAAAAGGGGCTGAGCAGAAGAAGGGGTGTTGAGGGAAGGAGGGAGGGTCTGTGTGGGGCTTGGTAGTGAGGCGTGACTAATCTGGCTGGCTGCTAGTGGGACTGTGAACCACCTTCTCCTTCCTCGTGCTCCTCGAAATCTCATTTTTCCTCCTATTTCCATTCCTTCTCTTACGAATCCCATTGGTCGTCCTACTTCCGACCATCCCACTACTACTCCATCTTTTGTTAATCTTATTATTGTTTATCCTTCTCTCCCCCCCTCTTTCCTGGTAGTGGAGGAAGAGGAGGCCAAGTGGGCCGTAGGTTAGATATATTACCGTGTAGTGTGAGGATATCCGTGTCGAAGGGAGGAGGAGGAGGACCACTGTGGTGTGAGTCTCCCCCGCTCCCTCCCGCAGTGCTCAGCCTCCCCTCACCCCCCAACCCCCGTAGCCCCTCACCTCCCCACTTTTCTCTCTCCTCCTCCCTCCACCGGGTAGACGGGCAGGAGCCACACAGGGCCCGGGTAGCCTTGGGTTTTTGCTAATTCTCTTGTTGAGTTTGTAAGTGACGGTGTGAGAATTGTGGTGGTGTATAGATGGTGTGTGTGTGAGGCGTGGTAGAGGGAGTGTAGTGTGTTGTGGGTGTGTGTGACGGTGTGGTGGTGTGGTGGAGTTGGTGTGTGTGGAGAGGTGTGGCAGCGGCGCGGGGGGTCTGGTGGTGCCTGGTGCCCAGTGCCACAGCGGCCGGGGTCTCGTGCCCACCTCTCGCTCGCCCGTCCTCCTGCCTCTGACAAGCCTTCTCCTGCACCTCTGTGCCTGTGCCAGTTCGTGAAGCTCAGCGTGGTGTTGTGTTGTGGTGTAGTGTTGTACAGTGGTGGAGAAGACAGAACTCGGGTAGTGAGCGTTAGGAGAGTGAGATACTGTATATAACTAGTGGGGCCACCACCAGCATGGCGGGGAGGCCATGGTGACCCTCCCGCCCGCCGCCCCTCAAGCAGCTGAACGTCGCGGCCCTTTCAGACACCGTGTGTGACGTGTGCCACTCTCCCGAAACTCACATATACCACCACCATCATGCCCTGTAACTGTTTTGGTAAGAAGGATAAAAAAGGCGGTGTGGTAGCTGAGGAGAAGTACCGTCCCCGGGACTCAAAGTCTCGCGAGCGTGAGCCTTTGTCGGCGGCCGCCCCTGCCCCGGCCCCGGCGCCCGCCACCCCGCCGCCCGCGCCCGTCACGCCCACTGCTGGCGGGGATGCGCGCCTCCGCCCAGAAGACGACCCGGATAAAGCCAATCGACGACGAGATGTGGTGGCGTCCTTCTACAGCGACCAGTGTGAGTTGATAGGCTTTAAGGCGACTGGATCTCGTCCTCCCTCCACACACGTAGGCTGTGCTGTGGACGGCCCCGCCGCCACATCCTCCCCTGCAGCGTCTTCGCCAGGCTCTGCGCGCTCCGCCGCCTCCTGTCGCGCCGATTTGGCCGAGAAACGACGAGAGTTCTTCAAACAGCTGACGGTGGATGAGGACGACTGTTCACGCGGGGGTTCACGGCCTACATCGCGCCTAACAGACCCGGGGTCACACACTACGCCCCGCCACTCTCACTACCAGGACCACTTCCACCACCACTCTCTTCCACACCCACCTAAACCCGCCCCCAGGACCATCAAGTACTCTCTTCCAAACACTTCTTCGGCCTCCGAGGACACCCAGCCTTTACTGCAGCCCTCAGACCAACACACACCAGAAATCAACGACAAGCCAACTACCAAGCAAACCACCGAAGATATTCCACTGCTATCAGTAGATGAACCTGACCAGTCGAGGAAGCCTGGAGGAGGAGAGAGTCCAGATGTAGACCAGACCTTTGAGACAAGTTCACCTCTACCTCACAATCAACCATCGGGAATTCCAGGGGAGCCTTTGCTGCAAGTTTCCCCAGAGAGTGAACATTTGTTGGTAGATTTCTCAGTGTCCTCTCATGGCCCAGAGAAGTTTGTTGACGAGTTCTTCACGGACACCACGCCACTCATTCAAGATTCACCAATTGAGGATAATTCACAGGTGCCTGTAAGTGTGTCGTCCAGTCCAGTGGTGGACGACTTACCTTTGTCTGTTAGTTCACAAGTGCCTGTAAGTGTGCCTTCTCCAGTGATTGAAGATTTACCACCGTATGATGGTTCACAAGTGCTTGTCAGTGTGCCTTTTCCAAGGGTGGAAGATTTACTATCGTTTGACAATTCACAAGTGTTAGTAAATGTGTCTCCTACGGTGGTCGAAGATATACCACTGTCTGATAGTTCACAAGTGCTTATTAGTAGTGCATCTTCTCCACTAGTAGAGGACTTACCAACGTCTGCTAGTTCACAAGTGCTTGTAAGTGAGGCTGCTCCTGAAAGTCCAGAAACGTTTGTTGTTGTAACAGCCCCAGAAAATTCAGAGTTAACCATCGAGCAGCTACAATACTTCCAGCAATTTTCCGTTCCGTCCGATGACGAACGTGTCGCGGAAGGATCCTGTATCCTTATAAACGAGGCGTTTCCTGCAGGATCTCAAGATCCTACAGAAACACTCGCCCTACAGCGTAACCACCCAAATAAAGATATCACCCAAGGGACACCCCAGCCACTACCACATGATGAGCCTTGTTCTGATGTTTCGTCTGTTGTTGAAGATGAACCTTCCCAGAGAAGTGGCCACCGTGTCCAAGAATCTACTACTATGTGCACAGATGAAGTCCACCAAGAAGTTCCTAAGCCCATTATCCTTGAGAATTCACAGCAGAATGTAGAGCAGGTCGTGGCAGAAACTCCCAACGAGCCTAGAGCTTCACCTGTGGAAGCACGAGCACAGCCCGAAGCAGAGGAGACAGTCCTGAACCATCACCAAGAACAAGTGCCCCAGTCTTTACCACCTTCCGTAGATCCATCTTTCCTGACCTCTGCCGAAGAACCGGAAGAATTGCCCCCAGATCAGCCTATTCACCAGTCCGCACCTCATCCTGTTGAGAAACCCGTGCCCAAACAACGTTCTCAGCTCCCAGGAGAACCTATACTTCAGCTTGAGGAAGTGAGGTCCACGGTGGAGATAGTGGATTGTATCCCAAAAGTACAACCCGTGGATTCAACACCACCACAATCGACCGCTTCGGAACACGAGAAAACTGACCGTGTCTCGGTGCCCCTGTTCATGACAGTGGCCACTGAGCAAGACGACGAAACGCCTCTACCGCCCGCCCCACCCACCCCTCCCGTGGAAGACGAACCTTTACCCCCGCCACCACCCACTCCACCTCTGAAGCATGAACCTTTGCCACCCGCACCACCCACCCCGCCCATCTCGTCAGAGCCTCGTCTTCCCCCAGTGACGTGCAGCGTGGGCTTGGTGTCGTCGTCGCCGGTGCTGGAGGACGACGGGTTGGGGTCTGAGATCGACGACGCGCTAAGCTCACTCGAGTGCCTCAGCGAAGAAGGTAACAACAACAACAACAACAGCAGCGAGCGTGCGGCGGCCTCCTCCTAGTGGCGGAGGGAGTCTGGACGGGTCATGTCCTCGCCCTACCCTCCTATCTCCCCCCCTAACCCCCTCACCCGCGGGTGTGTGTGTTGCCCCACCACCACCACAACTGTCATCATTCACCACCACCCCCTTCCCTCTGCCAGTCTTGTCATTATAAGTTGTCAGGCCCCCGCGCGCTGCGGGTGCCTTCATGTGCCTCCAGGCATCGTCACTGGTGCTGTGCTACCATGTGTATACGCTCTACTGGCAAAATAAACTTATTTAGCTAGTCCGTGTTTTGTTGTCCCCCACCCACCCACTTTACACTGTAACATGTGTTATACATTACAGCCTGGTGCCACGTACGCCAGGCGTCACGTACGCCAGGCCCCACGTACGCCAGACTCCACGTACGCCAGGCGCCAGTGCTTATTGAAAGGTAGAGGTTGTGAAGCTGGGAAGGTGGTGGTCACTTGAGGCCCCTGACTAGGTCTCTTGATCCTTGAGTCCCTCTCTATGGCGATCATTGATCACGTCCCCTGCTAAGATCCTTAATCACTTCAGGTCCCTGTCTTAGGGCTACACAATAAGGTAAATAAATATAATGGGCCGTACCCTCACTTAGTGTGGTGTAGCAGTCATAACTTGCTTCCATAATATCTACATTCAGGCTTAAACCTCACTCACCCCCCCCCACCAGGACCACACCGCCACCACCTTCCTACGCTTCACCACCGAGTGGTGTGTCAGCTAACATACTACACTAATACAGCTACCAACTAGTGTAGTAACTTAGTCATATAGACAATATGCACCATGCCTAAATAAAGTGTGCAACATGGCTCAATAGACAGCATGTAACTTGGCTAAATAGATAATAAATAGCTTGGCCAAAGTAGACATAACTTGAAGAAATGAGTGGCACTAACTTTCAGCAGTTTGTAGACGACCCCCGGGAACATCGGCTGACGTTGGACAAACACATTACTCAAGAGTTGATGATGAGCCTTTAGAGGTAGTTGACGGTAGTTTATTGAACTGTGTAATTAAGAAAGTGACACTGGTGGTTGATTGCAAATCTGGGGGGACACCAGGGGAGCGTATGGTATATTTAAAGCCTCCTCCTCTCTCCCACACGTGATGCTCCAACATATGTTCCCGCCACCAGCTATCCACCTCCTACTCCTGCGTGGAATTTCTCTTCATTTTATAGTATTTTGAAAACTTTTCTCTGTCTAGAACTTTTGCTGTCTTTCTACGTCTAGATCGTCCTCCTTTTTATCAAGAACTTCGTGTCTATTTCTATATAGAACTTCTGTCATTTTCAATCTAGAACACTATATATATAATATATATACAGTATATATATATATATATATATATATATATATATATATATATATATATATATATATATATATATATATATATATATATCCTGTTTGTTTGTATCTAGAACTAGTGTTTATATTTAGTGCTTCTGGTTTTATCCAGAAATTCCTGTCTGTATATATCGATAAATTTCTTATCTCTTCCTACAACTCTCCTCATTTTATATATTAACTCCTATCTGTTCCTATTTAGTAATTTTCTGAAATATATAAAAAATCTGTCCTTTTTACATAGAACTTGTCTATCTGTCTAGAACTATCCCCTGTACTGTCTCACACACTATTCATTACTCTCTCTCTCTCTCTCTCTCTCTCTCTCTCTAGATATCGTCTCCTTTAGCCAAAAATCACAGGGTTAGGGTGGTAATGGGAACCTGACATGGGCGGGGTGCTGTGCTGATGATAGGCTCACAACACCCCTCTACCCCCCTTCCATCTGGGTATTGAGACGAGGTTGAGACAGTGAGACGGGTCAAGGCTCCTCAATGAAAAGGAAAGCTTGCTAAGTTCCCTCCCTCCTCACACCACTCTCTCTCTCTCTCTCTCTGACACACACTTCGTTTGGTGTTGCTCTTCTCTTTTCTTCTTTTTCCTTTTCTTTGACTTATTCCCTTTCGTTATATTAGTTTTCCTTTTCTATTTTTCTTCCTCCTCCTCGTTTTTTTTTTATATAAATTTTACTTGTATTTTTTCCAGTGTTCATTCGGGGTTTTTTCCTATTTGTTTTTTCCATTTATGTTTTCAGTGTTTTCTCTGTTACCATTGTCGCTTTTATTTCTTTCTTTTTATTATTTTCAGATTTTTCTTTCTTCGGCGTCCTGTCACTCTTGCACTTGATTCTCTTCTGCTTCTATTTTTAACTCTTCTTAATTTCTTCTGTTTTGTTCTTGTTTCTTTACTGTCAGCTGAGGGAACTGACTATCTTTCTAGACAGATAAATAAATAGTCAGTTCCCTCAGCTGTGACAGTAAAGAAACAAGAGCAAAAGCGAAAATAGTGAGTGATAGTCTCTCTCTCTCTCTCTCTCTCTCTCTCTCTCTCTCTCTCTCTGTGTCTGTCTGTCTGTCTGTCTGTCTGTCTCTCTCTCTCTCTCTCTCTCTCTCTCTCTCTCTCTCTCTCTCTCTGTCTGTCTGTCTGTCTGTCTGTCTGTCTGTCTGTCTGTCTGTCTGTCTGTCTGTCTGTCTGTCTGTCTGTCTCTCTCTCTCTCTCTCTCTCTCTCTCTCTCTCTCTCTCTCTCTCTCTCTCTCTCTCTCTCTCTCTCTCTCTCTCTCTCTCTCTCTGTTTGTCTGTCTGTCTGTCTGTCTGTCTATGTGCCTGTCCACCCGTCTCTCTCCTCAGTATTCCTTTATCATCCTACACACAAGAGTCACTGATGATGTCTATACATGAAATTTGTCACGAGTTTAAAGGTTAATGAGATATGTATGGTAATGCACAGTAAATGGTATGTGGATTACATAAACAATGACCTAACTGTCAGAAACCGGCAGTGAAGTAAAACCTCTATATGGAGGGGAAAATCCGTTATATCGAGGACCCGTTATGTCAAACCTTCATCTAACGAATCATATGGAGAGAAGAGTCCGTTATATAGAGGTTTCAGTGTACAGGTGTTATTGTTATTACTACTACTACTACTACTATTACTACTACTACTATTATTATTATTATTATTATAGTGAAGAGGAACATATGTGCAGAAATCCATTTATTTTTTATTTTACTTGAATAACGTTTCCAAATGACATGTTACATATTGTTGATATTAATGAATGTCCGCGAAAAAAAAGGTACCTATACAAACATTGGTACAGTATGCAGGAAATTACTTCAAGGATAAAAAAACGTTTCAAAAGTGATGTTTGGCGGGGGGGGTTTTTCTCGAGGGGTAATGGCATTGAGGGCAACGTTGGTTTAGCATGTAAATGAACAGTATATATTGACACGAACATTTATGAGTTAGAAAAATATACAAACATGAAGTAAACGTTTAAAACAGAAGCCTAGAACTAAAAGGTCATAATTATATATATATCTTAAAAACAATACTAAATCGTTTAAGGAAACCAAATGACAGTTAAAAATATCCACATGTTTTGGAAACCAGCTTTTAACAGTTTCCTTTGGCTCTATCCTGGTGAAAGGGACTTACTGTCTGCTTGTGTTCGTTTGTTTACACTGTTTATGTACATGAGTTACTGGAGTTGTTTGATGATTTTTATCCATTATCATTCTATCTTTATATATTTATATATCTATTATCTATATCATTCTTATCTAAAATAACGTTTGTCTATGCTTGTATATTTAGTTCAATCGAGGTCTTTCCTGAATATATAATATATCCACTTGTCCATCCATCTATCTAACCATCCATCCAACCATCCTTCCATCCCCTAAATCATCCAACCAGCCGTCTATCTAACCATCCATCCAACCATCCTTCCATCCCCTAAATCATCCAACCAGCCATCTATCTAACCATCCATCCACCCATCCTACCACCCATCCATCCCACCATCCATCCACCCATCCAACAAAGTATCTATTCTTCTATCCATCCATCATAACAAGTGGAAAAGTTCGCTAAATAAACAGAAAAGTGTGAAATTTTACACCACCGCATCTCTTCATAGTAATTATATATACACGTATACTGTATATTAACATGGGGTATATCTCTTACTGATGATATGTACTTAGAGCGCTCATTAAAGTGGCGCGAAAGAGATATATAATGGCGCTTTGCTGCTTCGTGCTACAATAAAGAGAGAGAGAGGTGGAGAAAGAACTGGGGATAGCGAGGGAGAGAAAGCGATGGAGAGAACTGGAGAAAGGTGGTTAAACAGGGAGAGAGAGAGGGGGGGGGGGGGGGGGGTTAAAGTGAGAGATACACTGGTATATTTGGTTGTAATGTGAACTGTAATAACGTTCTTCATGTTGGATGTTTATGGGAGAGAAATTCAGGCTGGTCATATACTTAACACCGGCAAGACTGCATGGTCGGGGGACTCTCAAAGGTTCCTACGTTGAATTTTCCTCGTAACTGAATATCTAGAATTACGCTGAGACTCTACCTTAACTTGATAGGGGTCCAGAACTCCCCAAAATGGTGTGAGAATTACGCTGAGACTCTACCTTAACTTGATAGGGGTCCAGAACTCCCCATAATGGTGTGAGAATTACGCTGAGACTCTACCTTAACTTGATAGGGGTCCAGAACTCCCCAAAATGGTGTGAGAATTACGCTGAGACTCTACCTTAACTTGATAGGGGTCCAGAACTCCCCAAAATGGTGTGAGAATTACGCTGAGACTCTACCTTAACTTGATAGGGGTCCAGAACTCCCCAAAATGGTGTGAGAATTACGCTGAGACTCAAGTGTATTTTGGATGCGTTATTTCCGAGGGATAATGGACGTAACTGTTATATTATTTAAACTGGCCTCGGACACTTGATCATGGATGCTGGCGAAGTTAACTGGTGAAAGCTTAAATGTTGGGTACTGGTGATCGTAACTGATGAAAGTTCGAATGTTGGATGCTGGTGATGGTAACTGATGAAAGCTTAAATGTTGTATGCTGGTGATGTTAACTGATGAAAGCTTAAATGTTGGGTGCTGGTGATGGTAAC